ATAAGAAAAGATCCAGATGATGCATACAAACTAATTGATGAGATGGCATCTTCTAGCTTTTAGTGGCACACTGCTGACTCTTACGACATCAAGAGGAAAGAGACCGCTCTAGTCTACCAAGCAGAGAGTAGCAGCCCACTAATGAACCAAATGGCAGCCCTTGCAAAGCAACTAGAATCTTTAATGAAGGCTCAAGACCAACCTGTAAGAGCTCCTGCAAGCCTAGAATCTAAGCAAGAGGAGGCAAATTTCATGGGCAATCACAGTTCAAGGTGGAGGAGTAATCCTCCTAACTCTTAGGAGAATGGCTTTGGAAGTCAAAATTCAAGTGATTATCACCCCCCCTTATATGTAAAGTCAGGGAGCAAGACCTGAAGGAAAAGAAGCTCCTAGATCTCAATCTAACTTTCAAGAACAAATGATGCAATATGTGCATTACTCTGATAAGAGGATGACGGAGCTTGAATCCAAGTTGGACCAACATATTGAGAGAACTGATAAGAGGTTCGAAGAGGTTAAATCTGAAATACAAGCTAACTCTTCTAAGATGAGTGCACAATTGGAGCAAATTACGAACCTCCTGAGTCAAAGAGTGATCGGAACACTGTCATCTCACCTAGAACCTAATCCAAGGGAGCAATGCAATGTCATCACCCTTAGAATTTATATATTAATTATGCAGTTTGGTATAAAGAGGCCGCAAGTGGATTTTAGGTACATTATGGGCCCAAATTGATGGAAGATTAGAGATTCGCAGCAGTTAGCATGCCCAGACCCATTCAATAAGCACGGGGGTGCTTCGAGCCCATACACGGTCGTGCTTAAGGCCTTGCACGGCCGTGCTCATCTGCGGAAAGCCCATTTATGAAGAGTTTGTAGGGTTTTCAAATCCTATAAAAGGGAAGATCTCAGGCATTATAAGGAGACCATTTCTAACATCTTGGCTTTGGCTCTAGAAAACATCTGATCTCGTCTCTCTTGCACCAGATCCTTGGCACATGCTTGGCGACACTTGGAGCTTCAAGCGATCGTACTTGAAGACCGAGAACACATCTCACACTTTAGTTTGCTATTTCTTTTGATTATGGTTTTGTTTATGATTGTTTTAGTTCTTTTCTTTAGCATGAATAACTAAGTCTATAGCTAAGGCTATGAGAACTATTATTCATGAATTTATGGATTTTTGATATTTGAATTTAAATTTGATTTTTGTTTTATGATTAGATTTTATCCTATTGCGCTTTTTTCTTAATCCTAATTAATTATATCGTCAGGTAACCGTACCTTAGTTAATTAATAGATCTATAAGGTAAAACGAGACAAAGGATTAGGTGGACCAAACCAATCTTTCCTTTTAATCGTTATTAAATTAACAAATTTGTAGGCTCCTAAAGCTTTCTTAAATTAATGTCTTGCATGACCATTGGGGATGTCAATTTAGAGAAAATAATATTAATATTGCATGACCATTGGATATTAATAGTATTTATATGAATGATTGGTAATCACAAGGAAATTGAATTTAGAGTTAAATAGAAAAATAACATAAAGGATTGAATGAGAAAACCCATATGCCCTAGGTTCCTCTCCGATAAGTTTAACCAAGGCGTGCAGTGTATTCCTTACTCATAGTTTTATAATTGATTTTCTAAATTCTTATTTTCAATCAATCTCGTATCTTTGAAGCTTAAACAATTGAATTAGGAAATTCTTAGTAATTGAAAATCAATCCTTGTGGGACGATATTTCAGAAACTTAATTTAAGATCCCTTTATTACTTCTCGATGAGTACACTTGCCCTCCGAACATTGTCCCTTAACCCTGAGGTCTAGAACACATGTATTAGGAGACATGTGCTGTTTAAATTACTTATTGACATTTTTGAATATTTACTTGAGACTTTTGATGTTTTAAAATATAATTATGAGTATACTTTGATTTTGACAAATTTTGATCTTTGAGTGATAATTATTTTATACTTGATGTTTAAGTAAATATTATTTTGTAAAAATTGTGAATTATTTTAAGTGAACTATTTACCCAAAGCTTGCCAAAAATCAAATATCAATTAAACGAAATGCTTTATTGAAATTTTCAATATGAGTAATATGCCTGGTGTATTTGAATCGAATATCTTATGTGTTGTGCTCTTTGAAAATATACGGTTTGGCACATGTGTTGTGTAAAGCACTAAGAATATGCATATAGGCATATGCAGGCTGAGTGGGCACCATTTGTGAACTTGAAAATATATCTCACTCCTTCTTTTCTTTGCCTTTGTTGAAATATGTTGTTGGACATTTTCTTTTAGTGGTCACAGATCCTGAAGATGGCCTTTCTTCGTCTTATTCTCCATGTTGAGCTTAATTTGAAGAGGATCCTTTAGATACCAAGGAGATAGAGGAGGACCCTTCCAAGGAGTCATGACCACTAAATAGTCATTTCTTTTGTTGTTCTCTGCTAGAGGACTCCACTTGCTATAGGGTAGAGAATTTGATACTTTATATTTTATTTTGGTAGCTTAGGTGTAATGTACTTTGTTTTGATACTCTGATGGTTGTGGATTGTGTTTTAAGTTTCTTGGATAATTTGCGATTACTTCGGATAATTATGGGATTATTTATATGACCATGTTTATGTTATCAGTTGTCTTCTGATTTTTATTTGGATGGAATTAAATAGGCAAGAAATTGGTTCTTCAATGCATACAGGTAATGAATATGAACTTTGTGGGTTTTTCCCCTAAGAGAGTTCTAGTTAAAGATATAAAATCACATGTTGTATCTCATATTACTAGTAATTGGCTCATGAGCAGGTGAAAAAGATTGGAGTACACTTGTATAGTTATGTCAATACATGGTATGGCTATATTATTCAAGTGTTACTTACTAATATTATGATTTTCTAACTATGAATAAATGAAGAAAATAAAATCTGATGAGTAATTATTAGTAATAAGAGTATGAGATGAATGTTTATAAATTGTTGTCTATCAGGTGCATGAAGAATCAAGATCCAAACTATGACCGCGTGTCACTTTAAAATATATTAAAAGCAATATTCTCAATACTCAAGAATGATAGTGGTATCCATAAAGCAGGTTGAATAATCCTACGCATTCATGTTAAAAAAATAAAATCCTGTAATACCTTAAATTTAATTTCAATTTAATAAGAATTTCACAAATTCAAATAACCAATTTTCATAAAATACTTCAAAATAAGGGAAGCATTACAAATTAATATCAAATGACTGCTACAAGACTAGTTTAGTTACAACAAATTTTAAAATAAAAAGTAAGTCATATAGCAGTCCATCCATCCCTTCACTGAGTCCGGTGCTGATCGTCTTGATTACCTAAAAAATGAATAGATTGGATTATAAACCAATCTATTTTATTTTTTTAAAATTAATTTAAATTTGATTTTAAAATTTAGATTTAGTTTAAAACTGATAAAAATATACTATAAATATTTTTATATTATTATTATTAAATTATTATATTAAAAAATTTAAATTTAATAATAACTAATATAACATTATATTTGCATATATATATATATTTTATTTTTTTTTGTTAAGCATTAATATTTTATTAAAGATAAAATATGAGTATAAAGAGTATTTTAACCAATTACATCTCTATAGGAATTAACAATACATGTCAAGAGAATATTTGTATATATTTTAATTTATTAATAACATATATTTTTTATTTTTATATTTTATTAAATTAATAAATATTTAAATATATTTTAATTTTTATCATCTATCAATCACATAAACTAACTATATAGATTGAATTTTAAACTATTTTATTATATTTTTTTAATCAATTTAAAAGTAATATTAAAATTTAAATTTAGTATAAAATCAATTTTAAATTTAATTTTTATTAAAACTAATTTTAAATTTAGTTTTACTTTGAATTAATTTTAAATTTAATTTTTAACAAAACCTAATTTTTAATACATTTGTAAATTTTATTTTTAAAGTTAAACTAATTTATTATATGTAACATTGCATTAAATTAGTGCATTTTAAATTTTTTTAACAATATTTATTAATTATGTTATATTTTATAGAAGTTTATAAAATATTAATTATTTTTTTTTTGTTGATGATGAAAGTTTAAATTTAAAACCTATAAAAATAAAAATAAATATAAAAATAATAATAGTAATTAATTTAAAAATATTTGTTATATTTTAATATCTTTAATATAATATTATATTTTAAAAATATTATTTTAAATATTTAATTTTAATTATAAGAACTAAGATTAATAAAATAATAAAATATAGTTATGATAAAATTTTGTAAATTTATATAATACAGAAATTTGATAAATAAAAATATAAAATAATATTTTTATATATATGAATTTAGATAAATAAATAAAATTTAATTTTAGAAAATAAATTTAGACATTAAATTAATTAAACAAATATAATTAATCAAAAAATTAATTTAATATAAATCTAAATTTTTTTTAACTAATTTAATATTAGTTATAGATTGATCGTAAAAAATTGAATCCTAACTAAAAAGAAAGAAAAAAAAAAAAAAAAAAAAAGCTCACCGTGCATAAGTATAAACTTAAAAACAAAAAAACGTAAATGGGTCCCGCAGGCCCTAAAGATGCTGCCGCTGCCCCTAAGAAATGGTTATCTTTTTCTTTTTCTCTTTTGGTCAAACTAAGAAATAGTTTTCAAACAGCCGTGTCTCCATCTTTCGAACCAGATTTTGGACTTTCTCATTGGGCCTTATTGTTATGCTGCTCTAGTGCCCCGAGAGATCCAGCCCAATTGCCTTATGATAATAATTAATTTCCTGTTTTAGAACATACATTTGTAATAGAGCCCTTGGAATGCTTGGATGAGATGAAGGAATTGTAATAAATAAATAAAAGGCCTAATTTCCTTGTAGCCGATCCACGCCACTATATAAACACACTTTCTCACGCTCACCACTCCACTCAACTCAATTAAGATTAATAAATGGCTTTGGAGGCTGTGAATTGTGGTAGCGCCATGACGTACGAGGAAGACGAGGTTGTTGAAGCATGGGCGAAGGGGAAACGTTCTAAGTCCTCTAAACGACCAACAGAGGAAGAGTACATGGCTCTTTGCCTCGTCATGCTGGCTCACGATCACAATCACAGTCACAGTCACAATCACAGGTGCACTCTCTGCAACAAAGCCTTCCGCTCTTACCAAGCACTCGGAGGGCACAAGGCCAGCCACCGCAAACCCTCTTCCGACAAAGCCACCACCGCCCGAATAAGAATGCACCAATGCTCCATCTGTCACAAGGCTTTCCCCACCGGTCAGGCTTTGGGTGGCCACAAACGCTGCCACTATGAGACTCAGACCCACCTTCCTTTTGACTTGAATTTGCCGCCACCCAAGAAGCCAAGTTTGCTTTTCGGTGCACCACAGTGAATATATATCAATTCGTTAATCTTCCCCTTCCCCCCCACCCATTCTATACTCATTTCTACAATTCTCATTTTGTAATTTCCATAATTCTCTTACAGCCCCTTACTCACTCCGTCATCTGTTCAATTGCGTCTTAATTTTTATATTTTTTCATCTTTCTTTCTAACACAAACACGGTACGTTCTGAGATTAAATCACATATATAAATTACACTACAACTTCTTATTACGTTTGTATGGTTTACCAATATTCTTATCTCTTTTTTAATTATAATGTGATATTATTATATTAATAACTAACTTTGAATTTATCTTGTTTAGTTTGTTCTGAACATGAATTTAATTTTAGTATACGCTCTCGTTCCGTTGTTTGTTAATTGTATATATACATATGATCAACCAAATCGATAAGCAACAATCGTTCATATGATTTCGATTTCTCACATATTCATTCAAGTACATGCAATTCCGTATCATCCCCAAAAGGGAAGTAAAAGTATAAAACGCATTGAGAGAAATGGAGAAAACTTGAAATGTGACTGTGTCGAAAGACGCCAAGGTGGGAATCAAGCGTGTAAATAAGTGAAGTGGTAAATGGGCATTTAATACTACTTTACTACACATTTATTTATTCTTTTCAGTATGAAATACCATAATTGGGAACCAAAGTAAGTACGCAAGAAACTTCTTATTGAGGAAAGGTGTCCGTAATAGAGAAACTCAATCCTATTTTCAAGTTACACTGCTAGGTAATTAATCTGCCATCATCAATGGTAGGTGGCACTGAAACCATAACTGATTGACCGGAAAGTTTGATTAAGTCAAGGTCTTTTTTAATCAAAATTCATAATCAAATGGTGGAGGTTTTTTTTTTTCTCTTTTGAGTCAAATTTTCTCTGAGAAAAAGAAAAATACACTGCCGCGTGAACAACGCAGGGATGGCAGGAAGAAACAACCCATAATGGTGGTTTAATTGTTATTGTTAGGTCAAACTGATAGCTTAAATGAACCGCCCTCATGAATGAGGATTGTTGAAGTTTTGACAGATTGGAAAATAAGGCTCACTAGTTACTATCAGCTTCTTGGTAAATTCTAATTCAAGTCCCCTGTCTCACATTTAAGAGGGAAAGGGGAAAAAAAACAAGCAAGGGTAATGAAAGCACGGAAAAAACAATTAATTAGGCATTGACATGTTTGGCTAATGGTTAAGGTGGGTTTGTTCCTGCCTTTAATGCACATGTTGGTATCATTATACCGATTTTCTTGCACCTTTATCTTGTGGCTGAGGACGCTTGTTATTTGGTTGGCAAACTCTATCCAACCACTAATTAATAATGAGTCCTAATCTAAATTCAACGATAAGGTATTAGGTTTAGAGATGTAAATGTAATAACCTTGTTGTCATTTAAATAGATAAATTTTCTAGCATTAGAAAAATTAGGCTGTTAATATACTAAATAACGGCTAATATTGATGAAAAGGAGGGTATAAATTGGAAATTTGACAGTATTCGTGGGCAAGTAAGTTACTCATCAAAAAAATAATAAAGAGTTTTTGAAAAGAGTTTCCAAGTTATTGTCTCATAGAGATTATTTTTAAGTATCAAGAATAACTTGATTCGATTGTTTAAACATAACGAGATTGTAATACACCAAAAATAGAGCTTAATGTTAACAATAAATTAAAAGAACAATAATACAATGTATGAAAGAGATAAGATGAGATGAGCCTAGGACTTAGGGGTTTACCTACTACACTTCTTTATGTTCTAATTAATTTAATCTCGATATTGGTATTTAAATATTTACCAATCACTCATAATTAGTTCTATTAACATCCAATGATTATGCAATGTTAATATTCTTTTTCCTGAGCAAACACCCCCAATGATCATGCAAGGTAATTGGTCGAGAAAGCATGAAGATCCTATGAGTTTGTTAATTTAATAACGACTGAAAGAAAGGAATTAAGTGTGATTAACCTAGCCCCTTGTCTCGTTTTATCCTATAGTTCCATTAATTACACATGATACGATCGTCTACAATGCAACTAACTATGAGATGCTAAGGATAATCAAATCTTAACATACACAATATAATCCAATAGAATAAAAACCAAACAATAAAGAAAAACTAATACCAACATGAAAAGTAAATATCACACAAAGTTTGCAGTAAGATCCCCCATAGCTCTAGCTATGATATTAGTTACTCATAACAAAATAAACTATGAAGAATGTGATAAGTAAACCCATAACCACAAAGGAAAACTCAAACAAAAGAAACCCAGAAAGGTAAAAAATGAAGAGAATTCTCGTTCTCCGAAGGGTGCTCAATCACTTGTTTCAACTCCAAGAGAAAGCTCCTCGTCCTTGCCAATAGTTTCCAATGACTCTCAAATATGAGTTTAGTTAGAACTAAGAAGGGGAAGAATGTAACACCTTATATTTCTTTTCTCAGTATATGATGAATTTTCATAAAAATTTAAATGATAAAATAAATTTCTTTCAAAAACTCTCTAATAAAAAAAAAAAAAGATATAAGGTTCATAAAGTAAAATTTCATTAATTTATAAGTACTTTAGAAAAATAAAGATTATAAAATTTTCATTAGCAACAAAAAGAAATAGTAGTTTTATAACTGTTTCAAAAGAATGCTATAGAACTAAAAATATCCATTACATAACTCAAAATAACTAAGTCCTTTAGCAATTCTCATCCATCTATGCACTGTGAGTCTGGTACTACTCATCCTAGTTTCCTGAAAATGTTGTGTAAGGGTGAGTCTCTACCCTATTGATGAATCCATATTTTATTGGATTTTTACTTGTCATTTTGATGTTTCTTAATATAAAAAGTAAACTTAGGAAGTGTAAATAACATAAAAACATCATTTTGGTCAAATATCATAGGTTTCTTAATTTTTGGTTAATTTACATTGATTTACATAGATATAGTTTGCAATTTTGATCATTTGAATAATTGTGCAGGAATTTCTAGACTATTTCCATGGATTTTTAGCATTTGAGAAAGTTTGAGATGAAAGTGATCACTTTGGATCCTATAGTGAACACTACAGCAAGCTAAGTCTAGAAGGGCAGACTAAAGTGATCACTATGAACCTATAGTGACAACTACAGAGACCCATTTTGAAGAAGTGTTGCGCGTGCTTACTTTGGGACCATAGTAGACACTCTGGAGCAGCCAAAGTTATCACTCTGATACCAAGGTGACAACTCCAGAGAGGCCAAAAACACAGGACTTGCGCGTAAACAATATAGAGCGAGAGTAACTACTATAGAGCGCTGCGCGTTATCACTATGAAGCCAAAGTGATAACTCCAGAGAGGCCCAAATCACAGGACTTGCGCGTAAACACTATGGAGCAAGAGTAGCTACTATGGAGCGTTGCGCGTCATCACTATGAAACCATAGTAGTTACTTTGGACGAAAATTTATGCACTATAAATAGGATTTGAGAAATTAGGGTACGAAGCTTTTTACATAACTTTAGATTCTTTTGCCACTTTGGGAGCATTTTGCAGAGCTTAGGATCCTTGGGTGTCAGTCAAGGCCAATCTTAGGGTTTTACTTACAATTTCTCTTCATTTTCCTTTAATTCTTGCATTGATGATGTTGAATTTTCCTTGTTTTCATCTTGAATTTGTAACACCCATCCTTATGGAGGGCTAAATGTTGTTCGCAATCTAACACTAGCAAGTGCACTAAGATTGCAGCAAGTGATAAGTAAATTTAAGATCAGAATATCGTCTCCACAGGGAATTTAGATTCAAGTATCACTTCATAGAATTATAACCATTTAAGCTTTTTCGAAATTGTTAGGAATTTACTTCACAAGAATATCAGTATTAATTCAATTATGCCTCTGAACATTCAAGAACTTAGTTAATTGACAATCAGTTTCGCATAGCAATAGCCAAATGTTAATTGTTGTTAGCAATCTACACTAGCAAGTGCACTAGGATTGCAACAAGTGATGAGTAAAATTAAGATCCAAATATCGTCTCCACAGGGAATTTAGATTCAAGTATCACTTCATAGAATTATAACCATTTAAGCTTTTTCGAAATTGTAAGGAGAGTGGTAACATCTAATAACAGCAAACTGGAACAATTAAAAGTAAAATGAACTTGCAGAAAACAAAACAATGAACACACAATTATGTGATAACAGAAGGAGAAACCATAGCTAGGGAATTGCTTCACCAAAACTCCAATGTTTAATCAATAAAGTTCTGAATTAACAAGCAATTGGAAAGAATGACAATCAGTTTCACATTATACTATTTAGAGGTTAATTCCTTAACTCAGTGAACCTAACATTCAATTAAACCATTCTAATTCCTTAGATCTAATTCAATTCAATGTTGCTTTAAGTGTAAGAAACCAAAAGATTGCAAGATCAAAGTTCCTTATCCCTAAGAAAACTAAAATCTCGGTGATTGGTTCAGATCTGAAGAACAAATTCAATTTCCATTGACAAATGTTCCTCTGAATTTAGTTAATCAAATTTCCATTCAATTCACACGTGAAGTTCAGAATCAATCACTCAATCTATTCCAAAGCTTGAAATCCAGATCCAAATCAATTCAACATGTTCATTTCAGATCTACAATCCCTAACTATGAACGAATTACACAGCCATGGCAGTAGAAGAAGAAAAAGAAAGAGGAGAAGAGAAGAAGAAACTCAAAAACACCATGGAAGCTTGCTTCACTCCAAATCCTCTTCGTGAAGCTCCAAGATCTGAATCCCCACTCCTTTCTCTCACTTCCTCTAACCAGAAACTAACTAAAAAAACTGAAAATGAACAGAATCCCTTTTTTCTGAATCGCTTCTGGTATTTATAAAATTTCCCAGATTTTCACGTCATCACTTTTATGAGAAATAGTAGTTACGCAGAGAGTTTTTGGTTGCGCGTTAACACTTTTCCCAGAAATAGTGGCCACGCGCATTTTCCTGATATTGAGAGCTCTCTGGAACTATCACTCTTGATGATAAAAGTGAC